CCTTCAGTTTCCTCATACGGCCAGCAGTGAAGGACCACGTCTCAGATCCATAGGTCATTACTGGCAACACGCACGGGTTATTATTATTAATTAATATTGTCATTTAAATAAACTCGGACATTAAGTTTTAAAAGCAACAACATTCAAATAATTTTTTTTTGTTGAATACAGAAAACGTGTACTTATAAATGATAAATATTTTCATTTCAAAACAGTGTCGAAAAATGGGGAGGACAGTATACTGGACTGCGTTCCCTTTTAAACAGTAACCAGTATAGCAAACTAAAAAGGAACGGCTTCACACTAGATTGAATTGCATTGAAGTCACGCCTTACAGTGGTCACAGTGTAGGTATATCGGAACATAGCTTAAATATCGCTCAAAAATATCATCGAAGTGATCCAATAAGGATTATGTGACATATAAAATAGATTACGCATTTAAGTATAATTATTCAATTAATTATATTTTTTTTTCTAAATCTATAAATTAATGAATAACACATTTTTTATCTTAGGTATGGTAGGATATAATGAACTAAGAGTTAGAAGGGAACTTGGCGCTCGATTTGTATATTTTTAAAATACTCAGAGGAAAATTGCATAACAAAGGGCAATTAAACCTATGTGTTCCTGAGAGGTATGTGTGGTGCCGACGGTTGGTGGAGCCGCGCCGAGCCGCGTCGAACCGCGCTCGGACCAACCTTCTGAGTAAGGCGCCTCTGACGCGCGCACTCCATACGCTCAACTTGATAACTAGTGAGACGGACCTGTTCTGTTGTATTCTGAGTGAATCCACAAAGACAGCATTGCTATTGTTACATTTGCAGCATTTGTTACAAAAATTAAAGCATGAATACAAATCAGTTACACAGCTCCACTATCGCATTAGGTAATCCTGTATTGTTAGTTGTAAATTTCAGTAATAAATAAAATAAAATAAAAACTTCTTTGCTTTGAACAAGTTGCGATAGAGATGGACATATTAGGTATTTAATTTAAAAAATAACGCCTGTTAATATAAAAAATGTCAATGTTTGTCTATTTTCATATGTGTGTTATATTATAGGTATTTGTATGGTCTTCAAATAATTGTTCTAGGTCTGGATCTTTGTCCTTGTGCAATCTATGCAGATTTATGTAAACTACCTCCACGATACAGGAGAAAATCCTAATGTGGGGGGGTAACGTTTTTTTTTAAAAATAGACTGTTCATAATAATTGAAGCTTTATTATCACGTTATACTTCACAATTTGTTATTATTATTTATATAAAAGATTTACATAATATTTTATTGGCATTAAGTTATCTTTATACTGACATTGTAATTATTTAAAAATAAAAAACGAAGAATTATTTACTGTACTATTTCTACACCGATACCGGTAAGACATATTAATGATCCTAAAAGTTATAACGCAACAACTTACAGTTGCATGTGTCTGAAATAAATAAATGATTAAATGACTGAATAACTCTGTAGTCACTTACTCCTACCCTCAGTGGTCCTTCTGGCAGTGAATACCACAGACTGACAAGGAAAGATAGACATAACATTAGGTAAATTTCATCGAACGCACAAATCTTTCTCCTTTCTTTATATATTGGCCCAAGTGGTAGAGCCATGCTCTCAGTGGTGGAGTCATGCTGCAGCTATATTACTGGTATAGTTGTAGCAAGAATGGGTCGGCTCGATCGGGGAAGGACCACGCTCTCACAGAATACCAGCGTAAAATAGCACCTTAACGCTGCTGTGTTTTGTATGGTGAGTGTAGAAAACCGGAGACCCCTTTTTACTGAAAGCGAGTCTTTCCATCTTAGTCTTCACGGGTGACAACGCATCTGCATTTTGATTCGTAATCGAAGATAGATTTAGATGTTTATTGGCCACAGTAACCACTTACCATCAGGTGGACTGTGTGCTCGTTTGTCACCCTTATCCTATATAAAAAAAGTATATCATCGAAGTGATCCAATAACTGAATACCTCAGTGGTCACTTGCTCCTACCCTCAGTAGTCCTTCTGGCAGTGAATACCACAGACCGATAAAGAAAGATAGACAGAACTTTACGTACATTTCATTACATGCACAAATCTTTCATCTTTCTTTCTTTATTGACCCAAGTATATCACCGATTTCATTTCACGCACAAATATTTCTTTTTTCTTTATATTTTAGCCCAAGAATATCACCGAAGTGATCCAATAACTTAGTACCTCAGTGGTCACTTACTCCTACCCTCAGTGGTCCTTCTGTCAGTAAATACCACAGACTGATAAGGAAAGATAGATATAACAATACGTAAATTTCATTGCACGCAGAAATATTTCTTTTTTCTTTATATATTGGCCCAAGAATACCACCGAAGTGATCCAATAACTGAATACCTCAGTGGTCACTTGCTCCTACCCTCAGTGGTCCGTCTGGCAGTGAATACCACAGACCGATAAAGAAAGATAGACAGAACTATACGTACATTTCATTACATGCACAAATCTTTCATCTTTTTCTCTTTATTGGCCCATGAATGTCTACTGCTGCACGAACACTTACACCATGTTGTTGGTTGCAAATGAGTGCTTTAACTTCGGCTTTGTTTCAGCCGTACATCTATACAAATAAATAAAATTGAAGTGTCTGTTTGTAATGTCAAGATTACAGCTTTTTACTATATACATATGAAAGTATTTACGTTACTAATAACAAAAATACAATTTTTAAAGTTTTTGTCTATCAGACAGACAAACACTTTAAAAACTGTCTGCCTGTCTGTCCGTCTGTCTGTCTGTTAGTTACGGCTAATTTCCGAAACGGCTATTTTGATGAGATTTTCACTGGGAGATAGCTGATGAGACAAGGGGTAACTTAGGCTACTTTTATTTTAGAAAAAGAATTAGGGTTCCGCGGAAAAAAATTAAAACCCCAAATAACACGCGGGCGAAGTGTTCTAGTTTTCCCTTTTGGTCTAAAGTGATTACTCAAAATTTACTAAATTCAATCGCGTCTTAGAACCTTGATTTACATAGCAACGATATTTTTATCGTAACTCTTTAATGCTGGGAACATTATCGGCTTATCTTATTTAACGGCAATTATCTATTATAAGTATTGTATCTAATCTGAAATTAATTCCACGATTAACATTTTTGTATTATTATATTTGAAAATATTTCTACATAACATACAATGTATTCTCTTATACTTTTAATCTGATTACGAAAGAACTTTGATAAGTTGTAGTGTAAACGGCCGCGAAGGTTTATATGACAAGAAACCAGGATTGCAGCGTATGCCAGACATAGCTCATGTAAATAAATACGAATAATTTATTCTTTATTTATTTCTATTTCTTAGCGTAACGTAAAAGAACACATAGCTGACGTGAAGCACCAACGTTCCGTGAAGTCTGCAGTTTGTGATCATATCCTCGACGGCCCCCGCCATTACATTAGATTTGCTAAACCACAAATTCTCGCGAAAGAACATCGATTCCTGCCAAGGATGATACGTGAGGCTATTGAAATTAAAAAAAAACATTCTAATTTCAATAGAGAGGTAGGCTGGGTACTACCACCTGCTTGGGATCCTGTAATTAATAAAATTAAAACTAAACCCAAGCATACCACTGCAAGACTTCAAGACACAGTTAATTCATTCTGCGTAGATCGGACCAAAATTAATAATTAAAAAAGCTGAAGGTACTCCGGGTTAACACTGACGTAGGGACGTCAATCACCTCAGATCCCGAAGCACCGGAAATGACGGGGATAAATAAAAATAAGCTAAATAAGTTAATTAAACGCGAAAAAATCTGTAAAAGTAGTTTTATTCAATGTCTACGAGTAGTGTTCGCGTAAATATAAGGAATCATTATGAATAATTTATTCAATATATACATAAAAATAAAATTAAAGTGTCTTTCTACGCTCACCGGAACAAACTTGTGTCTGAAGTCGAGTCTTTGCTGAACAAAGTCTTGGATTGGGGGCGACTAAATCTAGTTTCCAATTTAATCCTCAGAAGACACAAGTTTGCGCGTTTACCGCTAGAAAGAACCCCTTTGTAGTATCTCCTCAGTTTCAAGGCACTCCCCTTCTTGCCTCAGCCAGTATCGGTATCCTCGGAGTCGACATATCGAGTGACGTGCAGTTTCGTGGTCACTTGGAAGGGAAGGCCAAATTGGCCTCTAAAAAGCTTGGCGTGCTCAGCAGAGCGGGACAGTATTTCATGCCGGCACACCGCCTGCTACTTTACAAGGCGCAAGTTCGGCCTCACATGGAATACTGTTCCCATCTCTGGGCAGGGGCTCCCCAGTGCCAGCTCCTTCCACTTGACCGCATCCAACGCAGAGCGGCTCGAATTGTCGACGACCGAGCCCTTTCCGATCGGCTCGATTCATTGGCACTGCGAAGAGATGTTGCATCCCTTTGCATTTTCTTTCGCATCTACCATGGGGAGTGCTCTGAGGAATTGTTCGGATTAATCCCAGCCGCCAAATTTCACGAACGCACATCGCGGCAGAACTCCCGATACCATCCACACCATCTGGATGATTGGCGGTCCACCACTGTGCGATTTAGAAGATGTTTTCTTCCTCGCACGACCTCCTTGTGGAATCGATTACCATCAGCGATTTTTCCGGACCGATACGACTTAGGGACCTTCAAGAAAAGAGCGTACTCCTTTTTAAAAGGCCGGCAACGCATCTGCGATTCCCCAGGTGTTGCAGTTGTTCATGGGCGGCGGTAGTCACTTACCATCAGGTGAGCCGCATGCTCGTTTGCCCCCTCTCCTATAAAAAAAAAAATATCGAAATTACTGCCCTTTATTTAGCTGAGGTGGTTATTTGCTTGGTGGTTGTTTATTACCTCTCAGGCGCCTGCGCGACACTTTATGCTGTAGAACGAGTGAGAAATTACAGTTCTACTCTTACTTCTCCGTAATCCCTACTATTTTTAACCTCATTCCTAACAATATGATTATCAATTTAACACTTACCGAGTAAAACCAGCCGAACTTGTCGAACGGTATAGCGAAGGGCAGGTCGGGGAAGTGCGCCGCGATATCGAACAGGGGGTCCTCGATCCCGTCGTAGAGCCACGAAGACACGTTCGCGGTGAGGAACAGGTTCTCGTGGTACATTCGCATGAACACGTCCACAGCGACGCGCAGGAATATCGGCTGGTGGCGCAGTATGTAGGCCACGGTCTGAGAAATACATTTCACTGTAAATATATATATTTTTTATAGAATAAGGCTGACAAACGAGCACACAGTCCACCTGATGTTAAGTGTATGTTCGGCCCATAGATATCTACATCTATCCTCGATTAAGAATCAAAATGCATATGTGTTGTCACCAGTGAGGACTAAGATGGAATGCCTTGTTTCCAGTAAAAAGGGTCTCCGGTTCTCTACGCTCACCATACTAGTAACTGGTATTCAGTGAGAGCGTGGTCCTTTCTCGGTCGAGCCGACCCATCTGTGCTACAACTATACTACTAATATAGCTGCAGAATGGCTCTACCACGTATAAAAAAAATTATAATGTTAATGCGGTGTCACACCTTAGGACTAAGATAAAATGCCTCGTCAACAGTCAAGTAAATGTCAAAGTCAGTCAAAAATTTAACTCGATTTTGGCTTGATCAAAACTAATAAGAATGCCGTGGCCAAAATCTACACCGGTTCGGTAAAATACGCCATTCTGACAGAATTAACAAGAAATTATAATATGGCATTGAGTTATATGTACTACGTACTAGAGAAGCCATTCCGAACATTGACTATGTTCAACTGAACTGTAGTGCAATCCATACAAACTAAATATTGCGTAAATTGAAGATTTGTGAATTCCATAAAATAATTATTATTACATTTTATTTAGAAATATAACATGTTTGTTTAGATGAAATTAAGATATTTTATATTAAATTCTTATATTTATTTTATATTAATATCCTATTTCATATCAAATTAAAGTCTTCGCGCATGCGCGACTACTACTCCCGCGCATGCGCGAAAACATAGAGTAGGACACAGTTTTTGTTTGAAATGGCTTCTCTAGTACGTAGTACATATAACTCAATGTAATATGGTCTTTTAATTCTATTCAGATGATATCCCGCGAGCGAGATTAGAATAACTCTTCATCTAGACATGGAACGAGTAGTGATTGGTCGAGTACTCAGCCTTTAAAAAAGACGCGGTATTCCCCTTACAAACTAGACCCGAATAGGGTCGAAAAACTAGTGTTATTGCATCACAATATTCCTCTTTTAAAATTTTTAAATATTAGTCAATAATAATTTCTATTATAGATTCTTATGTACGTTCTAAATATTTCTGTTGCTTCTCATGTTCCTGATGTTTTAATGTGTCTAATATAATAATAATAAAAACTGGCTTTTGTCTTTATTTTTCTCTGGTATATAAATAAGGCCGAGTACTCGATACTAGGCCGTTGATACTCGGTGCTCGGCCGAACCCTTAAAAAAGGCCGAATCCGTCGAGTACCGAATCCAAACCGAGTACTCGTCCCATGCCTATCTTCATCACCTTAAGAACGGCAAGGCCCCGGGGCAGGATGGAATTATGTAGTGGTCCTACCACGGTCGAGTCGACATATTCGTGACATAACCATAACACAGGTGCAGCGTGGCTCTATCACGTACACGTAGCTTTTGATGGTTCCTAGTATTAAAGATTCTATGTAAATGATATATAAATGATATATAATATATATACCACCGCATGTCGGACAAGAACACGAGCATACGAGCACTAAACAACTTTAACCTCGTAGCAATTCGAACAATCAAATCAACGCGTTATTTTTAAAATCGTATAATGGCGGTTTACAAATATCCACTATCCTATATCGTCCTGTGGTGGTCGTAAGTGGCGGAGGGAACCCGAAGCAGGAGATGGGCAGCAGCATCTACCTGGTAGCCACTCAAAATAACCATGCGTGGCAACTATAGCAAAATTCCCCTATGAGGCAATCTATGGTGGAGGCCTATGTTGAACATTAGACTTTTATAGGCTGTAATGGAATAGATGATGATATTATGGACTTTATGATTTTTTTTTATAGAAATAGAGTGACAAACGGGCACACAGTCCACGTGATGGTAAGTGGTTGCCCATATACATCTACATCTATCCTCGTTTGCGAAACAAAATGCAGATGCATTGTCAGCCTTGAGGACTAAGATGGAATGCCTCTTTTCCAGTAAAAAGGGTCTCCGGTTCTCTACACTCACACACCATACGAAACACAGCAGCATTATGCTGCTATTTTACGCTGGTATGTCTGAACATTGTGTTCACATTATAAAATATTTGCGCACGGACAAATTCTATTAAATGTTACGTACATACTAATGTTATTATCTAATCATTATAATCGTTACTTAATAATAACATTACATTCCTTTACGACATTAATTTCAATGGCATTCTTTTACAGATATGCTAAGCGCCCGATTGATAACGACACTACCTTCCAAATATTTGATCATTACCAATGCTCTTTCGGGTTCCGTACCCGAAGGGTAACGAACGAGACCCTATTACCACAGAATAAACAATTGTACAAGAACAGAAGGATCACTCTCTGATAGCAAACTTGCGAGTTTAAACTTAGTTCCAACGTCGCTAATGTTCATAATACTTTGCACACCTCAGAAGTGACCTTCGTGAATTCACCATTTTTCGTAAGTACCTAGGTAATAATTAACATTTTGCAATATCCAGAAAAATTAAGATTATAACGACGTGAACGTATTTGAAACTCAGATAATTTACCTACTTACCATTTTCTAATTTAAATTAAAATAAAATTAAAGGGGGCTGCCCTACTAGAAACGTGTTTTACGATGGTACGGAGCCCTTCATGCGCGAGTCCGACTCGCACTTGGCCGGTTATTTAATACTAGTTTTACTTCTTTAAACGTGGACACATGGTAAGCGGATGACGTGTTTCAAAGAAACCTAAATCTATCGTCTATTAACAATGAAAACGCATCCGTCTGCGTCTTTTTGGGCGTTCAGATTAAAATGCTTCGTCTCTTTTTATAGAATACGGCTGATAAAGGAGCACCCTGTCCACCTGATGTTAAGTGGACGCTGTGGACCATAGACATTTACATCTATCCTCGAATAATAATCGAAACGCAGAATGCAGATGAGAAATAAGATGGAATTCCTCGTTTCCAGTAAAAGGGTCTCCGTTTCCCTTATTTTACGTTGGTATTCTGTGAGAGCGTGGTCCTTCCCCTACCGTGCTACAACCATAATATAGCTGCAGCATGACTCTACCTCGTGCTTAGGTCTCTGAGTCTTTTCACTAACACTAAAAACCTAGCGTTATACTGCCATACTGTGCTAGTATTTGGTACGAATATAGTACAGTCACCAGTCAAGGCGGTCCATTATTGCTGCGTAGCTCCACCATACAATAAATATTATATATTCTTCAAGGATGCTGTCACACTTACCGCTACGATGGGATTAATGCTGGTGATGTTGTCGCTGAGGCTGCCGTTGGACAACTCTGGCTGGAAGTGCCACCAGCGCTCGTTGTAGAAGGTCACGGTGCTGTTGTCGTTCCACGTTATATTCACCTAGTAGAAATAAACGTAGAGATTACTATCTTATTATTTGATTGTTGGTTTTTAGATCTGGCTTAGCGAAAGGAGGCCTTCCTGATGGACTTATAAACAGCCGTCTGATGTAAATAGTCCTTTTTGTCGTCGGGGAAATCCTCATGGAAATGTTTCGCTGCGGGGGCAATGAAAAGTTTATGCCCACGGTGGTCACCATCCTTTGATTTGCTGGATCTCGACAGCAACGCCACCTACCGGATCCAATTGTAAACCGTCCTCTAATTAACTTAATCACGCATACAAAATTTCATCAAAATCGGTCCAGCCTTATATGAGTTCAATCACATACCCGCGGAAAGAAGAATTACATAATATATAATTTGTATGTATTATACATATAAACATTCCTCTTGAACTCTGTCTATTGATGAAAACCGCATCAAAATTCGTTGCGTAGTTTAAAATGGCTAAGCGTACAGACGGCGACAAGCGACTTTGTTCTATACTATGTATTGGAGAAATACTTTTGCACATCAATAACCACTGTTAATTAGTACATTCAACAATCAAAGTGAACAATCACTCGCTCACTGATTGTCAGTGGTCTACTGCCCACACGTACATATACAAAATAATTATGTATCGGTATCACGCGATACTTAATCATAAATACCTAAGTACATGTATGAAATTTCTTTTAATCTTTCAAATATATTATTTTCACTTGCATAATATACCATATGGCTTTATAAATTAGGAAGTTGCATCGTTATTTCGATAATAGTTACAATTTGAATTTATTTCAAATATTATCACAGGAAGTGTACATAAGTATATCAACGCACCGAGAAAGTATGAAGTTTGGAAACACGTTCCGGAGCCACTCCGTCATTACATTACTTTATTTTATTTTATTCAGGACATCAAACAATTATAAAATAACAATTTATAAATAACACGAGTAATTATGTAACCAGCACCGTTCCCACAGAGTAATATTAAATGAATATGATACAGAATAAACAAAAAATGAATAAAGAAATAAAATTTATACAACTCAGTAACATGTCAAAAAGAGATAAAATGAAAAAAAAAATAGATCTTGTGATATATTTTTAAAAAGACACCTGGTTTGTTTTCCTCTATCGCCTCTTACGATACCCGTGAGGTCAACCCAATAATTAATAAATAATTATCAATATACTTTAGTATCATATGCAATATGCTCACTTATGCAACCGTATAGGACGTAGCTTGATAACTCAAAAACATATCAGTTCAATAAAAAAAGACCTCCGAGATCAACTGTCAGCTTTATTTACAATTTATTAATAATTTTAAATTATAAATAACAATTATCAATTGGATATCGTTTTGCAAAACATAATAATTTGACAGCAATCATAATTCACGATCAGTAATTGAATAATGCATTCTTCAGAAAGACTGAACAAAACATAATTATTATTTTTTTATAGGTGAGCGGGCAAACGGGCATGCGGCTCACCTGATGGTAAGTGACTACCGCCGCCCATGAACAACCGCAACACCAGGGAGGGAATTGCAGATGCGTTGCCGGCCTTTTAAAAAGGAGTAGGCTCTTTTCTTGAAGGTCCCTAAGTCGTATCGGTCCGGAAAAATCGCTGGTGGTAAACTATTCCACAAGGAAGTTGTGCGAGGAAGAAAACATCTTCTAAATCGCACAGTGTTGGACCGCCAATCATCCAGATGGTGTGGATGGTATCGGGAGTTCTGCCGCGATTTGCGTTCGTGAAATTTGCCGGCTGGGATTAATCCGAACAATTCCTCAGAGCACTCCCCGTGGTAAATGCGAAAGAAAATGCAAAGAGATGCAACATCTCTTCGCAGCGCCAATGAGTCGAGCCGATCGGAAAGGACTCGGTCGTCGACGATTCGAGCCGCTCTGCGCTGGATGCGGTCAAGTGGAAGGAGCTGGCACTGGGGAGCACCAGCCCAGAGATGCATACAGGTGTAAAGAGCATCACCAGTGCTGTCATCCGCATAGCAATGAATGCTACCGGTTTGCAACATATCATTGATATGCAGAAGAAACAGCGTAGGTGATAGTACGCAGCCTTGTGGAACACCAGCGTTAATAGGCTTGTAGTCGGAGCATGCACCGTCTACAACGACCTTGATGCTCCGATCTGCAAGAAAGCTGGTGATCCAATTGCATAATTTCTCGGGAAGCCCATAGGAAAGAAGCGCTTTGTGCCAAACCCGATCGAAGGCCTTCGCAATATCCAAACTAACGGCCAATGCCTTCCCCTTGGACTCTACTGCCTCCGCCCATCTATGGGTCAGGTAGACCAGAAGATCACCAGCTGATCGACCCCGACGAAAACCGTATTGGCGGTCACTAATCAGCTGGTGATCCTCAAGGTACCGGATGAGCTGGCAGTTAATAATGGATTCCATTATTTTGGAGAACAAGGTGATCGCGATAGGCCTATAGTTGGACGGGTCTGAGCGGTCGCCTTTTTTAGGGATCGGGTGGATTAAAAATAAAAAAATTTGTACAACCGACTTCAATATAAATTATTAAAAATAACTCAAAAACTATTGGTCAGACCTTGATCAAAATTATATGGGACCACATGTGAAACACCAGCTTTCAAATAAAAAAAAGAATCATCGAAATCGGTTCACCCAGTAAAAAGTATGAGAACACACATAAAAAACGTACAGTCGCATTGAGTACCGTCTCCTTTTTGAAATCGGTAGAAAATGCATGCCGATAAAGGTCGAGTGAAGGCGGAAAGGGTTGTGCCACAGAATAAAATATAGTACTACGTACAAAAATTGCACTCCTTTGATGTTGACTGTTTGCCGACATTTTAATAGCCTACATAGTTATTATTAATCAGATAAATCGCGCACACAAGCTAAATAAAACTTTATCGCTGCGCGCGAGTGACCGTATTACTTTACATCTTTTCCCCTTCCTACGTCACGACGGCCTTTCCGTGGTTACTAAGGGCTGTTAATAAAGAGTAAAAAAATACATTGTGAAATGGTAAGTTACTTAGGTAAAGTACCTGTGCAGACTATTTCCATATTTCCGCTACTAAGTAAGTTCTGTGATGACCAACGCATGCAACTTACAAGGCCATTCGTCGAGAATCGCGATGCCTGGATGGTATAGGTAGATAGCGTAAACAACAAACAAACCCGAAATACGATTACTAACAGAAATATGATCGTAATCTACTTAGTTAAAAATCTTGTAAACAAAGTTTTAATTTCAGTATTTTGTGCTATTATAACGTAAAATATTTTAATTACAAAGATAAGTATAGGTATGTAAATAGGTACTTGGGTACTGAAGCAAATTTCAACTAAGTTTTGTATTAAAGTACTTAGGTATTATTTCTGTAAGTAATTATTTCACGCAGGTAGCAAGAGTGACAGAGACCTGGTTGTTCTAAAAATATATAAATACTTTTTAGTAATTTATTATTATGATTCCCTATTTGAATTGGAGTTTGTTGACGTTTTGACTATTTCATGGGCTTTTTTGCGCGTAACCATTTTTCTTCTAAAATAAAACTCAATTTACTCCTTATAATAACAGCTATCTGCCAGTGAAATTTCCGTCAAATTCAGTCCAGCTATTTCAGAGATTAGCCGGAACAAACAGACAGGACTGACACAAATACCTTATAAAATATATTTAAACAAGTCAAGAAAATCTAAGAAAGCACATTGTAAGCATTCATGTGTTTCAAAAATACTATATTATGTTACTACATGTGCCCGCGAATTCGTACGCATAGTTTTTAGTAATTTATTGCCATAGTTCCCTATTTGAATCGGATTTTGTTCATAATTTCATTAGTTTTATTTTTCCTGTGCCGAAACTAAATTATTTTTCTAATATAAAAGTAGCCTAAGTTACTCTTTATAACATCAGCTATCTGCCCGTGAAAGTCCCGTCAAAATCGGTAAAGCCGATTCGGAGATTAACCGGAACAAACAGACAGACCGACACTCAGATATTATATTAACTTATATTGTATAACAAAAGCAAAACTTAACTTGAAAAGTAGAATGGTGAATTATGGATTGAAAATCTTACCTTAGAATGGCTCTCTCTGTACACGTAAGGTCCCAATTGCTCGACTTTCAACGTGACATTTTTGCCGGCTAAGATCTCGTCCACATTGGTTATGTTGTACATATAACACTCCAAGTACATTGGGATTGGGATCTGGCGCCATATTCCGTATGACGTCGAAGTAGGTGACAAGGTCATCATCTGGAAAGAGCAATACAGTTATACAAGACATTATTGCTTCAAGAGTTCGTTTGGGTAGGTACCAGCGTCTCACAAATTGCAGTCAATAACCGATAGTTTACGGACTGTAGTGTACCGAATAGAGAAGTAGCATTTTTTTGCCACACATTTATATATAAATGAAAGAATAATTCATTTAGAGTATATTTAAATATATTTTTTATTAACTATTCCATTTTTAGCGTCCCCGCTATTCCTGGCTACGGTGGCGACCATGGTAACAGCGGGGTAGGGGGTGCTAAGAATCTCCGGTGGAGGTTCGGTTGCCATCTAAGACGACTCGACCTGGCAACATACAACGCACGCACCCTGAGGACTGACGAGAAGATCGTGGAGCTGGAAAAAGATATAGACAAGTTACGCTGGCATATTATAGGACTATCCGAGGTCCGAAGAGAGGGGGAGGACACAGTAATCCTCGAATCCGGCAACTTGCTCTATCACCGGGAGGGCGACCATCTGTCCCAAGGAGGTGTCGGATTTATCGTCCACAAGTCTCTCGTTAACAACGTTGTAAAGATTGAGAGTGTGTGGACGAGGGTTGCGTACCTTATACTCAGAATCACCAAACGGTATTCGCTGAAGGTCATACAGGTTTACGCACCAACCTCGGCACACCCCGATCAGGAGGTGGAGGAAATGTATGAGGATATCTCTAGAGCCATGCATTCCTCCAAAACCCAATATACGGTGTTAATGGGAGACTTCAATGCAAAACTAGGCACAAGAGAGAACGGAACTCAAGAGGCCAGCAGCTGGCCGACTTCATGGAGAAGGAGGGACTCTTTATGATGAACTCTTTCTTCCAGAAGCGGCCACGAGCCCCGACGGTTCGAGATAAAATGAGATTGACTTCATTATGACGACCAGACGACCACTGTTCAGTGATGTCTCCGTGATCACGAGGGTGAAAACTGGTAGCGATCACCGAATGGTTAGAGGCACACTGAACATAAACGTTAAGTTGGAGAGGTCTCGTCTAATGAAGTCAACGCTCCATCTCCTTCGTGCTCTATCCCAAAGTCCCGAAACCTTTCAGCTCGAGTTACAAAACCGTTTTCAGTGCTTAGAAGACTGCAATGAAGTGGACGATATGAATGACAAGCTCGTGGAAACTGTCCATGCGGTCGGAGCTAAATTCTGCAAGACCCGCCGCAGAAGAACACAAAAACTCTCTGATCACACTCTTAATCTCATGGCTGTTAGACGGGACATGAAACTACATTCTTCAACAGATTTGACAGCATACAGGCACCTGAACAGACAGATCTCCAAATGCATGCGGCGGGACTTACGCAACTTCAATACAGCTTGCATTGAAGAAGCAATCGAGCGGAACCAAGGCTCCAAAGTCCTTGCCAGAGATCTGTCTGCCAGAAAGAGCCAACTGTCAAAGCTGAAGACAGAGTGTGGCAGCATCGTTTCCGGGACACCTGAGATTTTGAGTGAGATTGAGAGGTTCTATGGACAGCTGTACACGTGTACGGTGGAGCCACACGCAAGTGTGAGTAACGATCCAAGAGCGAGTCTTATCCGAAACTATTCCGAAGATATCCCGGACGTCAGTTTGAGCGAGATTAGAATGGCTCTCCAGCATCTTAAAAACGGCAAGGCCCCAGGCGAGGATGGACTTACAGCGGAGCTTTTGAACGCAGGTGAAAAACCGGTACTTGAAGTCCTTTAGAAGCTCTTTAATTCCGTCATCCACGGTGACACTACACCGGAGGCGTGGAGCAGAAGTGCGGTGGTCTTGTTCTTCAAGAAAGGCGACAACGCTCTCTTGAAGAACTACAGACCGATTTCCCTTCAGAGCCACGTCTACGTGCTGTTTTCGAGAGTCATTACGAATCGTCTTGCACGCTGACTTGATGACTTCCAGCCTCCCGAACAAGCCGGTTTCCGAAAAGGCTTTAGTACCATGGACAACATACACACCCTTCGGCAAATTGTACAGAAGTCCGAGGAGTACAATTTGTCACTATGTCTGACGTATGTGGACTATGAGAAAGCCTTTGATACCATCGAAATTTGGGCGGTGCTGCAGTCCCTTTAGCGGTGCCAAGTTGACTGTCGGTATATCGATGTGCTGAAGTGTTTGTACAGTAGAGCTGCGATGGCTATCCGAGTACAGAATCAGAGTACGAAACCTATCCAACTGCAGAGAGGTGTAAGACAGGGTGACGTTATATACCCGAAACTCTTCACCGCTGCATTGGAAGACGTTTTCAAGCTTCTGGACTGGAAAGGATACGGTATTAACATCAATGGCGAGTACATCACTCACCTATGATTTACCGACGATATAGTCGCTGGAGGACCTAAGCACTGTGCTTAATTACCTCAATAGTGTCTCCCAACGGATAGGTCTTAAGATGAACATGGACAAAACAAAAATCATGTTTAACGTCCATGTCACACCTAAGCCGGTAGTTGTTGGGAGCACTAAGCTCGAAGTTGTTGACGAGTATGTTTATCTGGTACAAATAGGTCGACTAGGTAAGTCCAACTTCGACCGAGAGGTCAATCGACGGATTCAACTCGGTTGGGCAGCGTTCGGGAAACTAAGACACATCTTCTCGTTAGACATACCTCAAAACCTTAAAACGAAATTGTACAACCAGTGCGTGTTGCCAGTGATGACTTACGGATCTGAGACGTGGTCCTTCAATGCTGGCCGTATGAGGAAGCTCAAGGTCGCTCAGCGAGCTATGGAGAGGGCTATGTTCGGGGTTTCTCTGCGTGATAAACTTAGAAATGAGGATATCCGCAGTAGAACCAGAGTAACCGACATAGCCCAACGGATTAGTAAGCTGAAGTGGCAGTGGGCCGGCCATATAGCTCGAAGAACCGACAACCGATGGGCAAGAAAGGTTTTCGAGTGGCAGCCTCGTATCGGTAGGCGAAGTGTAGGGTGACCCCCCACTAGATGGAGTGACGACCTGGTAAGACATGCAGGAAGTCGATGGATGCAGGTGGCTCAGGACCGTGCTTCGTGGCATTCCTTGGGGGAGGCCTATGTTCAACAGTGGACTTATGAAAGGCTGTAATGATGATCATGATGATTCCATTTTTAGTAATTATTAATAAAAAATAAGTAAAAATTTGAATGATAAAAAAACCGACTTGTGATTGGTTGTGACGTCATTATATCCGTTGCGGCTGTTAGTCAATCGCAATCATGCTATACTTTTGCATTTTTTATATTCGGATCACCATGTGTCATAACAAAATAGTCATAAATAACCAGACTTTTTTCCGTCAATCGAATAGTTTCAAAACAATTTTGACAAGGTAAACATGAGTGTTTTATCATTTCACCATGCGGTGGCGTTACTAAAGCGATATCTTCAGCTTGTTAATATTATTTTTTTTAATTTCTTCAAGATACAGTAAGTTCATACTGCGTAAATCGAACCAAAAATTAATATTAAAAAACTGAACGTAGCCGGGCTAACTCTGTCTGTCACAGTTAGCCCGGCTACCTTCAGTTTTTTTAATATTATTTTTTTAAATTTGTAGAAGCCTATGTGCCACAAAATGTACGTACCATCAGGTAGACTGTGTGCTCGTTTGTCACTGTTATTCTATTAAAAAACCATACAAGCGCGGGCTTTACCTGCAGTAGTACATAATTAAGACAACGCGATATTTAGTACTGCCGACGAAGGCACCGCGTTATTTTCTTTACATTCACTATTGTATTCGCTGTATCTAAATTTAACGATTAACTTAGTAGTTAAACTTTATTAAACCTCACATCGGTACAGAATGAAAAGGCGGACATAATGCTAAAAGCATTATTTGCCAGTCAACCTTAAGCAGTTACAAAGAACATAAATATATAATAATATATACATAACATACCGATTAAACTATAATGATGCCGGAGATTAGCAATTCCGAAGCAATTTTACGAAATGCGTCCGTTTCTTTATTTTTAAAATGTAATATGTAAATTTGGCAAAAGAGTTATCTGAATGCACATAGTTTTACGTTCTGTCTGTACATTAAGATACGAATCAGAGCGATCAGCGCCAAATGACGAATTTTATAAATATTCATAAAAAAAAAGTGATTAGCATCGATTATAATTTTAAATTTCGCGCGATAATTCCCACAAAAAAAAAGTTTACTCGGTGTTATTTATATACTGTTAGTTATTATACATTTATATTGGCAACACTGATTATAGAATCTACGGTCTGAGTGTCTTTGGCGGATGCAGTTGCGTACTATATCTAAAAATATAAAAATGTGTGATTTTGATGATTGTCTTTAAGTTAATAAAAGTAAAGTTATGTTGTGTAAAGCTGTAAAGGTGATTAATAAAACATACAATAAAGAAGGCGGTTTATTTAACCAATTAAACATTAACATATACTTTATCTAATTCACTTTGCATAATATTCATGTTCGTGTTAACATAAATTGATAACAGTCAATGACGTTTTATACATAAAAACAACTTACACACAGTAGTCTGGTTTGCTTATGCCTATATAAGATTATTAATTTTAGTAAAAACTAAACTAGTTCTGACCAAAAATAAATGCGGCTGCTTTTTTTTTATTTTTTATTGGATAAGGGTGACAAACGAGCACACAGTCCACCTGATTGCCTACAGGTTGCTGCGGCCCATAGACATCTACATCTATCCTCTATTACAAATCAAAATGTAGATGCGTTGTCACCCGTGAGGACTAGGATGGAATGCCTCATTTCCAGTAAAAAGGGCCTCCGGCCACCTGCACTCACCAAGCGAAACGCAGAGGTAAATCTCTACTTCACGCTGGTTTTCTGTGAGGTCGTGGTACCACCCCGGTTCGAGCCGGCCCATCCGTGCGACAGCAAAAGCTGCCGCGTGGTTCTACCACTGTTAGAGCTGCTGATGCTGGGAAATTATGACAAATAAAATAATTTCATATATTTATTTGTTTAGGTGGTGAGTACCGTTATGATAATTTAACGGGGGGTAAAAGTTATTTTTATAAAACTGAAGAGACAAACAATATTTATTGATTTATGAGCAGATCGATTTCAATTTTTATTAACTATATAGACTTACATTATATAAAATTATATAATCTAAGTTTATAGAATAAGGGTGACATGCGAGCACACAGCACACCTGATGTTAAATTGATGTGGCCCATAGACATCTAAATCTATCCTCGAATAAGAATCAAGTATTATCGTAGGTGGTGTGTCTTTCCTAAAGTAGTGGTGGTGGGAGTAGTGGTGACGGGGATAGTGCAAGCAATTGAGGGAGGGCGGGAGGTGCTCTTCAAACTAGGTAAGACACATCATTTTGTTGTTTTATTGGGCGGATATTGGCAAAGTAAAATATTTTCCAACTTTAATATAATGGATTTCCGCAAAGTAACGCCTGATTCGATTAATTTTCTTTATTTCTTTTTATTTTTTATTTTTAGATGTACACAATAGTCTATACAAAGATTTGACCTATAAATCAAAGAAACATATGACGCGTACATACAGATGTAACATGCATTATACATTATACTAAACACGTCTGTGAAAAAAAAATTGTTTAACAATTTATGATAAGTTAGCATTTTTTTATCTGCATATCTTTATATCTAAAAATTACGTGACACATTGTTGGTCCGCGATGAACTCCCTAAACTACTGAAAATTTCAACGAAATTTTGCATACTCTGTGCAGTTCGGTCCAACTTGAGAGATAGGATAGTTTTTACCCTGATAAGGGACGCTCAATATTTTTTATTACGAATTTAAGAATTTTTTATATGAAGGATCGTCGAAAAAGGCAGAACAACGTCTGCCTGGCCAGCTAGTAATTATATATAATTAAAAAAAATGTGGAGTTCACTTGAAGTAATGCAACAGTCTCGTGCGAAGTTTATTTATGTATTATTATCGTCAACACTGCGTAACGTACTGCAACAGTCTCGTGCGAAATTTATTTAAGCGTCCGTAGCCTAATGGCAGGGCGCGGACCGCAAACTTGAAAGGTTGTGGGTTCGAATCCGCCATTGGAATTCTGTCGTGAACCACTTCTAACACAAGCATTTTAAGCTTACCAGAAGTGGTTAAAGGGAATATTAGTAATGTTTAATAGCAATACTAGTATTTTTTTTTGTTTAAATACAACAAACAACGATTATCGAAAATGTCAATATCCCAACCTGGACTGTCAAAACCATATCTTTATAAGAACGACAGTGTTAAAGTGTTGTTAAATGAAGTATTGTTCTTATAGACGTAGCTTTAGCGAAAAAGACTCGTTTTAAAAATAGTTTAATATCGAGACTCGATCAATCTGAATTTGTTGGCTAAATCTGAATGACAGGGTAAGAAATTGTGTGATAAGAGAAAAGTGTGGTTTGCAAGATGATGTTGTAGCTTTTGTGTCATTAACAAAGAAATGTTTCGGTGGTTTGGCCATGTATAAAGAATGAATGAGGAAAGAGTGGCAAAGCAAATTTATTTATATTTGAAGCGTCAGTAGCCTAATGGCAAGGCGCGCACCGCGAACTCGAGAGGTCGTGGGTTCGAATCCAATTCGACTACTGCCGTGAACCACTTCTAACACAAGCATTTTAAGCTTACCAGAAGTGATTAAAGGGAATATTAGTAATGTTTAATAGCATGATTACTATTTTTTTTAAATTATGTTGCATAAGTGAACGGCAGAGTCGGCAAGAGATGCCCTAGGCGAAAGCTTATCGACCAAATTGGCGATATATTGACGATGGGCCAGATTTTGAGTATTCTTAACTGACGAGCAATGTATGCGTAGGTATATGACTGTAAAGCAGGCGAGAGAGGATTGTCTAGATCGAGCCAAATTGAAGTCAGCAGTATCTGCCTACCCCGTTGTGTGACAGGCGTGAGTATATACTATCGATAACTATTAATAAACCACGTTTTGTAATAATGCCGAATATTTATATTCGATTGCTTACCTTCTGTAATTGATTTAAGAATATCGACGGCCAGTATACCACCATGATGGCTCCGACCACAACGAACACGGCCCCGAAGCCCATGAGAAGTCCGCTCTTCATGGCGAGTGACACCATTTTGCCTTTGTCGTGTGCCCTGCAAAAGTAAAATAAATTAAATATCTCCAAAAACAAGCAAATAAACCACTTTAATGGAAAAGTGGCATTCCATCTTGGACCACACGGGTGACAAAGCATCTGCATTTGGTTCGTAATCGATGGTCTACGGTCATAGCATAGTATTCATTTACCATCAGGTGGCCTATGTGCTCGCTTCTCACCCTTATTCTGTTGTTTAATGACCGTATGAATTTAAAAAATATCACATTACCCCAATTAACGAAGAAGGTGGTAGGTCACCATTTCTGCTTAGGACTAGGACGTCCTCTGGGTAGATACCACCCTTTTACCTATTTCAGCTGCCAAAAAGCACTGTTGTGTACCAGTCGGAAAGGTAAAGATAGCCAGTATATAATTACAGGCTATGAAGCATTCTTAGGCCCGTATTAATAAACGTTACTCAGCTCAAGTACACGCACTTGAGTACTATCTTGAGGTTATGATCTTATTAATAAACGTATCTCAAGACGCGGTTTAGGTTTAAGATATCAGCTGAGTGCCACACTGATTAATAATCGAAACTCGACTCTCAAGTGTGTGTACTTGAGTGCAAGTCACAGAACTGTATTCCTAAGTACAGCGTTTTGAGATACTGTTTTTATGTGTTTATTTATTAGCAACGATCTTGAGATGCTGATATCGTAATGAGGGCGTATCAAATGATTACGCACTTGAGTTCGTCGTTGAGTAACGTTTATTAAGACGGGTCTTTGTCCTTAGAGGTGACATCGCATCTGTAGCCCCTTGTTTGACGGTGGCCGCAGTTATCCATGGACTGCAGTAACCACGCACCATCAGGTGGACTATCGGTTTGTTTGTCACTTCAGTTTAAAAAACAATCCAGCGGCATCCATAGCAATGAAATCGTTAGCGAAATAGTAAAATTTCAATTTCCTGAGGTCTGGTAAAACTTTATAACCGAGAAAAACGTCTGGGATTATATATTTTTTTTGGATTATATAAAAACTACTTTTTTACGTGGTAGAGCCATGCTGCAGCTATATTATAGTTGTAACACGAATGGGTCTGCTCGACCGGGGAAGGACCACGCTCTCACAGAATACCAGCGTAAAATTGCAGCTTAACGCTGCTGTGATTCTTATGGTGAGTGTAGAGAACCGGAGACCCTTTTTACTGGAAACGAGGCATTCCATCTTAGTCCTCACGGGTGACAACGCATCTGCATTTTGATTCTTAATCGAAGATAGATGTAGATGTTTATGGGCCACAGCAACCACTTACCATCAGGTGGTCTGTGTGCTCGTACCCTTATCCTATAAAAAAAAACTAAATTAAAAGATAAAAAAGTAATCAAGTTGCCAAAAACATTTCTTTGGATATTTTTTGCAAATATTCTATGCTGTGTAGTAATGAAATAACCGCAAACGCTCTGCCAGACTCGCTGCACTGGATTCGCCAATTGACGAAATTATATTTTTTCGCAATTTGAACTTGCCAAAAGGACCTTCCCAAAACTCGTCGCCAGCTCTCCGACTACATAATTTATGGTTTTTGGGTTAAATTAGTTAGTTTATTAACTAGTATTCTAGCTTGATTTCTAACACTATGCTCAACTACTTGTAATTTTGTCGTCTGGCCATTTAATCATCAGTTTCATATCTGTCCGAATGTTTGAAAAAATCAGTGAGTTAAGTTAGAATATATGTACAAATACTCGAATGATTCTCCCTAAAATCATTACATCAGAATGCAGACAAACTCAGACAGGTTTTTCTTTACAAGCTTCTTAATGGTGCCATTGACTGCCCTGAACTGCTTTCCCTAGTTATAATAAGAATCCCCAGACCATCGACTCGGCTGCACACCTATGCCCCATTATTTGTGCCTAGAAGAAGGAACAATTATGGAAAGAATAGCCCCATATCACTTGTTGTATCCAAATATAATCGACTTTTTAAAAAGGCAAACATAGATACGAGTATAGATATTTTTTCAGACAGTGTTAGCCGATTTCTAGTGAATGTTGAAAAGCACATCGAGTAACTCGATACAAACATTCATCCTAAATGATAATAAAAATTAAATAACCATACTTAATATCACTTTATTCTATAGTTTTACTTTTAAAAAAAATGTCTTTTCTTCTAACAAAACTTGAATCTCACACATCGATTTTTAGTATTGTTTTAAATAAAATAATTGCGTTAATGTTAAAGTGTTGTACTCACCTATAATTTAAGTACATATATATAATGTTATAACAAAATGTAGCCGAAATGTTTTTCATATGTACTTAGTTGGTAAGTGTAAATAAATAAATAAATAAATAAATACAAACAATGCACAGTGAGGATTTTCAAATTTATAAAATGTTATCTACATGATTGTCTCTAGTGTGTGCGAGATATTATTCTTAGTGACGAGCTAATAGGACATGCAAGAAGTCGATGGCTGCAAGTGACTCAGGACAGACACAACTATAACACTCTACTAACACTACTCAATCACTCAATTTCGTTCGTCAGAAAATAAGTGACGTCTGGTGGCCCTGGGATCTTGCTCTATAACTTCACTTTGGAAATAAAAGAAAAACTAGAGTTTCTAAAGGCGGGTTTGCCGTGTTTGTAGCGTGTTTAACATACACGGTTTTGAAGCTCAAACAACGACAATTCTTGAAATGGACATAAATGTCCGATTAGATGTAATACTTAAACTCATAACAGAATTTTTAAAATAAATACTTTATATTTTTGAGATTTATAATCTCACATTGCCGGGAAAAAACCTTGACGTTCGACTCTCGCATTTAAGCGATAACCATTTAATACTTTTCGGTAATATGAAAAAAATATTATTGAATTGGATCCTTAATTTTTATTTAGATCCCCTTGAATGTAGGTACTATGACGAAACAATGTAACTAAAATATTAAATGATACCCTCCATATATGGAGTACACGTGTCTTCATGAAATGTAGGAATAATATCTAATTAGTTCAGTAATATATTATATTTATAGAAGAAGCCACCATTCACGTGTACCTGGAACCACGTAACACAAACCCTTCCTACGTCATAATTACTATATATGTCTCCTTCAATTTAATAAATGATTATTCTTAACCTGCATCAGTGAGTTTAATATCTTGCATGTTCCTTACATCACCCCCTATTTCTTTTTAATGTGATTTTTTGCCACAGAGTTTCCAATCGCAATCATTCATAATTTTGAAGCGATTGTTTTAAACAAAAATGAAATTTGATGCATTGTTTATGGATGTTTTAATTTTTTTTTTTTGAATCGTGCATAATAAAACAAAAATAAAAGTGTCTTCTCTGCCCTAAGACTTTTACAAAAATGGAAGTAGGCTTGTGCCCCGTTACGGGTCGTACATATACATAGTATAAATACTTCATTATTTTTGTAATTACTAGTATTTTGGTGGAGCCCTGGTAGCTGAGGAGCTTAGCGCTCGCTTTAAATTTCATAGCACGCGAGCAACCGGGGTTCAATCCCCGCCGGCACCAACGAAATTGTTAATTGCAATTTTAAGTGCTGATTTACCACGTGCTCGGCGGTGAAGGAAAACATCGTGAGATAACCCGCATGTCTAAGAAATAAAAAAAAATATTTCGAAGACACGTGAAGAACGCCAACACGCAATGGGACAGCGCGGCGGACATTTCCTTGGCCTATCCACTATCAGAAGTGAGAGGAGGCCTGTGCCCAGCAGTGGGACGTGTATACTCGTATACTGTAACTATACTTTAACTTTAACTAGTGTTAACGAGGTTGTAGATCTCTCCTGGCCAGGAGTACTTCTGGATAGGTACCACTCTCTAAGCTGTTTTTGTCGCTTAACAGTAATGAATTTATTGCTGTAATCCTGTTTACAGAGCAATTGAGGAAGGATAATTGAGGTTATGACGTAATCCACCTTGCCTCTTAGTGTTCTTTGAAGATTGAGTGAAATTAAACTTCATACATCGTTCGTTGGTTGCTTGTTTTGAAATCCCAAATCGGGACAAAATCACTTATTGGGTTATTCTGTAAAGATATTTTCCAATATCAACCAACAATTGTGTATCAGTGCCTCGGAAGCACGTAAAGCCGTTAGTCCTGCGCCTGATCTCTCGCCAGTTGTGTCGGATTGCTAACTCATGGGACTATGAGAGTGAGGGAATAGAGAGTAGAGCAGCGCGTTGGTGTGATCGAAATTCGATGTGGATGACATTAGGATATAACATATCTCATAATTTTATACATATTCTTGACATTCCTATTTCCACAATATTTCTTTGGTAAGAAAGATAGAAAGAAAGAAAATTTATTTATTAAAACATAATTACTTATAACTGTTAACAAAAGGTATAAACCGACTTCAAATTGCTATTTGTGTATGTGACTGAACTCCTGCTTAACGGCTGGACCGACTTTGATGAGATTTTGTGTGTGTGTGTGAATCAGTTGATTCAAGATGGGTTTAGATTCACAATTGGACCCGATAGGTGGCGCTGTTATCAAGATATAGAAAGCACCCGAGCGAAGCTGGGGTCGTCCGCCGTCCGCGAATTAAATATATTAGACTTAATGGAAAATTCCAAATAAGATTAATTTTCTGGTGAAGAAAAACTAGTGATCGGGGAGTAATAAATGTTTTCTTGCTCTACTGTATTTTTTTTTAATTGAAGTTCGCCCCTTTGCGGCGTCAACGACAAATTATACTCACAGCTTACTTTATAAATTAAACAACTATTATTAACAACTATGTTATGTATTATTTATCAACTATGTCACTTAAATTTGTTCATAAAATACGAATGAGTTTTTGATTTCTTACATTGCTACGAGGGTACTGTCTTGATTTTATTTTAATTATCAAACAATTTGTGTAAGGCTGTGTGAGGTTACTACGTCAGTAATAATACATTTATTTAAGCTACAGTAAAAATTAAAAAATATATCTTAGCTGTTTTTTTTTTCTATCTCAAAGGCT